TCAACATGGCTCGTGGTCATCTGCTTTCCACTGATGAGAAGGCTTATCATAAAGGGGGCTCCGTACTCGAGCCATTTCCAGGCAAATAGAGAGATCCCCTTGGTCCATTCGGAGATTTCTAGAGAGTCCTCAAGTCATTAGATATAACACCGACTGTAGACACCCATGAAAGATTACTACCCGTGACAAGCGGAAAATTCTGAGGACTGTTTCCAACAGTACGTCCTCCTTGAACCAGATCCGATCGGAATTAAACCTCTCTGTGTCGAAAACTACAGTCTGGAGAGCAGTGAGAAGATGCGAGAACATCACCAGGCAAGCAATGGAGAAGGTGCCACGAATCACCGATCGTCACAAAGAAGCTCGACTCGGATTCGCAAACATGAACCTAGGGAGAGATTGGGCAAAGGAAGATCTGCATCAAAATCTCACCATAGAGCTGAATAACTCCTATTCAGGTCGTCTTTTCGGATGAAAAGAAATTCAATCCGACGGAAACAAGCGGTACTGACGCGAATTGAGAAAGGAGCCAGTCTACTTCAGCCGTCGCAATTTCGGTGGAGGAAGTCTATGGTGTCGGGTGCATTCTGCAATGATGTCGTGTTGGATCTACCTGTCGTGAGCTGCAGTATGTATTGCAAGGATTACCAGAACGTCTTGGAGCATCATCTAGTACCCTTTCTATACCATCGCCGTCACCTCAACTATGTCTTTCAACAAGACAACGCCTCCATTCATGTGAGCCGTGCAACGGATGAGTGGCTGCAATGCCAATAAATAAGCGTCCTGCCATGACCAGCCTGCAGTCCCGATCTCAATCCGATGAAGCATATCTGGGGCATAATAGTCAGACAGGTTTATGCGAATAACCGTCAGTTCCAGAGCGCAGAAGAGCTGAACCGGGCGACTATCGAAGCATAGAGAGCAATCGATGAAACTCTTCGAAACTTAGTTTCTAGTATGCCACGCAGGCTCTTTGATATTGCTCTTAAACAAGGAGAAGCTATAGATTATTAACTGTTGTACATATGCCATTAACATTGATAAATCATTGACTTTCTCAGGGTGACCTTATAATTATGAAACGGTGCAAAAGCCAACACTGTCTTTAAAAAATTCGTAAAAAATTTGAGGTGAAGGATATTGCGACCAAAATTTGAGTGCGGAGGTACATTGTGACGAGGAATCTACAAGTGTTTGCCAAAAAATTCCATTCCGGCTGCTTTCTCCAGAATCGCAAAAATCGAGGGTGACCTTATATTTATGAAACGCACTGTATATATATTATATATGTTCATCTAATGGTTACATTGGAGCCAATAAGACCCATCGTTATCGATTTCCCTTGGACTCACCTCGAGCCCACGAGGGCCTCAGATCGAAGATGTGTAATACTGTATTTATAAACAAATTATCAAGGAAAACTATGCCATAAGTATGCTACAAATTACAATGTGAAAAGCCGTCAGTAAAGGGATCGTGTGGAAATAAGAGAGCTTATCAGGTAAGATATCAGTTCCTTGAACATATACATTCAAGCTTAAAGTAAAGCTCTTAGTAAAGCTTAAAGAAACACAAGCTTTCTTACCACTTCTTTGACAGGAATGCAAAAATTACTATCATTTTGAGATTAACTCTAGAAACTGTTATTATAATACTAAAAGTAATCAGTCCATCTTGTAATGAAATATTCGCATCTTCGTGTTCTGAGCGCAACGCGAAGATTTGATACTACTGGTGAGTAAATCTTGTCGTTGCATGACCTGACATATCGGAACTATTGACTATCCGCGACCAGCCTTAGCCGTTATCAAGTGGTTGGCCGGAATGTGCACAAGTTCATCCGGCCCAATGAGCGTGAGAAAGTGCTCGCGTCCTATGATTGCACCCCACTGGTGATCCGTGAAAGTTCGAATTTTCTGGTGCTTCGATTTTCCTCACTATGAGAAGCTGGGTTCAAATCGAGGTTTTGAGTAAGGAAAAAGTGAAGGTAAGTGAAACCGATTCAAAAGTACGAGTGGATTCGATTCTCAGAAATGAACAGCATTCCCTGTTCAACTTTGAACAGCATTCTCCATAGGACTACCATTTCTTTCTGCCAGTTGCATACTATTATGTGTCACCAGGCGTGCTCTTAAATGGACACGGTTATAACGAATGCGGTGGGCCAGTAGAGTTCAGTAACGAGGGATCAATCAGTTAAAAGTTCGGTTAGATGGCGATTCAGCTGACTTAATTCTGTATAATAACAGCAACAAAAACTTTACAACGTGGGCTTTTTAGGTCGCATCATAGGGGATCAACATTGCAATCAATCGTGAAAAGTTCATCACTTGAAAACCATTGATATTACCATTAAGATGAAAATTTGTATTGACCACATGCCTGCGTCCTGCCTTGCATGTATTCCTGTGTCACATAAAATTAATAATTCGAATCATTGTTTTCAACTGAAACTTGCAAATTTCGCCAGATATTAAAATGATCATTATCATCTAACATCTAACACATCCTATACCACATAGCGCCACATTTGCATTTCAAAAAGTGAGAACGAAATTTCCGATCGATGTGGAAATTTACGGTGATGTTATACGTATAATCAGGTAACACTACAGGTGCTCAGAAGCTCATTCTTCGATCTCCATGAAAATGAAGCTGAAATATAAAGGAAATCAGCAGTTTATTGTACGACAGGATTCTCCGCAGGCAGGGCTACTTACTGGTCTTCCATTTGAATGGATTGCTGGAAAGAAGCAACAAATGTCTGTAAATCTGGTTATTTGAACCCCTGCTTTCAGCTGGATGTGTTTAAATTCAGACATGAAAGATCTCAAAATAACTCCCGTTTGCAAACTGAGAACGAAATATGTCATTGAAGTGGGAAGTTTACGGTGATTTCATTACATCAAGTAACACCCCTTGGCGCTAAGAGGCTCGTTCTCCCTGTTCCTGGGAATGAAGGCAAAAAAACCAGGGAAACGAAAGTTTATTCTCTATCTATTAGGTTGTTCGGAAAGGAATGCACGTTTGATTTCAAAAAATTTATTGTAAGAACGAAACTAAACAAAGTCAATCCAAAAGATATTCTCCATTACTATCAATGACTTGTTGCCTACCTTTACGCGAAGAATCTTCTGAGGAACTCGGCCAGCTGCGACTCAAAGTAGTTGGACACCCTGAGTTGGACTTTTTCGCGGTTTTGAATTTTCTCTCGACCAAGGACTGCTGCATTGACCGGAACAAATGGTAACCGGATGGTGCGAGGTCTGGGCTGTATGGGGGATGAGGCAGTACTTCCCAGCTCAATTCCTCAATTTCTTTCCAAGGTGGTTTTCGCAACATGTGGACGAGCGTTGTCGAGGAGGAATTTTGTCGACGTCGTTTCGACACCTTGCCGACGCAGTGCTTGATCCACGCGGTTCAACTGATCTTCGTAAACGTCCGCCGTGACCGTTTGACCCGAATTCAGGACTTCAAACTACACTCAACCTTTGCTGTTCCACCAAACACAGAGCATCACCTTTTTGCCGTGTATATCCTGTTTCGGAGTGGGTTTTGGAGTACCACCGGCGTCTCACCACTATCTCCCGTGTTGTATTGTCGAAGCATATCCATTTCCCGTCTGATGTAATAATAGAGTTGAAAAAACCACTGTTCTTGGAGCGGTGAAGAAGAATTTCGGCCATCGCCACTCGTGTTGCCTGGTTTGCGTCGCTCAGCTGGTGCGGTACCCATTTTCTGCACCTGTTCGTCTTGCCAATTGCCAGCAAATGCTCATGGATGGTAGAGTTCGAGCAGCTAACATGTGTTGCCAGTTCTCGGGTGGTTTGGTGTGGATCCAATCAATGACGGTCTTCAACACTTGGTTATCGACGATTTGAGGCCGACTTCCATGCTCTTCGTCCTCCAAGCTTTCATTACCGTTTTCGAAACGCTGATACCATCATCGAAACTGGCTTTCTGACAGGGCTTCTTCGCCGTATACCTCAGGAATGGCACGATGAGGTTCAGCAGCCGATTTTTCTTGCTCAAAGTTGTACCACATGCAGGCCCTCAAAAGGAATTTTTGTTCAACACCTTTCAAACTTTTTTTCTCAGAAAAAACAAAGTAGACATAGCCAAAAATATATCAAAAGATGTGCAATGAAAATCTTTTTCTATTAGACGAAACTACTACAAAAAACTTCCTATAGTAGTGGAGAAATTAATGGACATTCAACGCGCATTCCTATCCAAAAAACCTAATATATTCTCCACTAGGGTGGCGGTGGTGAGTGGCAAGCAGCGCACTTCACACACGCATATCGATCCGGGATCGAATCCCGGATCGATATCCGAGCTTTCCATCCTCCATTCAATACGCCACTATGATTCTGAATGGAAGTCGAATGCGTAGGTGCACCCTCAAGCCGGATTGATTGCCCGAGGACTTTGTCCCTCTATCCTTTACCAGTTGGGGTGCACACGCTAACGCGTGCAACACCAACAAGTGAGCCATATTTTTCAGTGAGATCAAAATGAACACTCTCGAATAGACTTCCTATTTTAGGCGTGTGACTTTATGCGAGCGGATGCACAAACCGACATATAAACAGACACACAGAGTTACCGCTTTACATATATGCTTCATTCTTCACAAGTTGAGCTTTCCGCCGATCTTACTTTCAACTTGATAAGAGTAATCTAGCAGAAGTTGTGGCGAGGCGACAGTTTGCGACGGATTAATCTGTAGCGAACCGTCGGTTGGGAATCAGCGGTGTAGTACGAGATGTGGCTGGGCCTTCGACCGTCTTCTATTGCATAATACGAATCCGGTTTCGTAAGTTCGGAGAGCAGGATTTTGCCTTGAGCAGCAAAGCACGGTCTGGTCGACCGGTGGACCCAGTTGGGAGGAAGAGAAACTCTATTGTTGCATGGCGCAATAGCGAGCCATCTTGAACGCGGATGTATGAAACATGGACAGTTCTTGATTTGAGTGATCACTAGCTTCGAATTACGAGGGATGGTTGCTTGAACTTCTTGACATCTGGGACATTTACCTTGCTCGCGTATACTGCGCCCAACAAAATTACATTGTTTTTACCACATGTGAACAACAGAGCAAGATCTGAAGGGCATATTCTGGCTCACCCACCGTATTCACTAGACTTATTACCGGAGGGAGATCAGCTGTCATCATATTGAATAAGAGGAGGTTTACATAGGAATTCCAAACCACTCACTCCAGGCGAGGGCAAGCGAGGTCTCCGTGTGTAACGAATAAGAAGCACGATGCCCGGTAACATAAGAACGGGATCGAGTTTTGTTCGAAGCTGAAGTTTTGTTCATAACTCGTCAACCTCGTGAGACTTTCTGATCGCGCTCCGGGCAAAAAAACAGCAATTAGCGAAACATCAAGTCTACAAAGTAGAACCGACTGCTTCCTTCTCTATCAAATTGATGGAAATAAGTTTGACTACCGGAACAAACCCAAAGGTTACTTCCGCAATTTTTCGCCTTGAAGTTCCAAGGAGTCTAACAATAAGAAGCGGAATGTTCACGCCGCCAGATGTATGGCAATGTGTAGTCGACAGTGTTGGTTTATATATTCGTTCAATGTTGCTGTATTCAAAACGACAAACAATTGTAACACAACTTCTCAAAGTGGCTGGAATCATTTTCAGTAACCATAAAAAGCTGTTTAACTGGCAACAGTCTACTCAGAGCGTTTCCGCTTTTAATTCGGCTGAGGATTCATCATAATTAGGCGCCAAGCGCATAAGACAGTGGTCACTACTGTTCAAATGAATTTCATGTTGTCAATGCGTGATCAATGACTGAAGCTTGCTCCTCGAAGAAGTCTGCGCTCGGTTACACCTCGGTCGATACTGCAGTCATTTAGATGTTTTATGGTCATTTGCTTTGAAGACTAGAATCGGAAGTACATTTACATCGCCTTCCACTACTTGAATCTCTCTTATGGTTATCGCTGCTACCTGAGCACTTTTTCTACTAATCCTGTACCGTTTACACACGCACACCCTATCGTGCTCACTACATCACAAATCATTTGATTGCGCATTGAACTCAATAATTGGGCAAATTTTGAGATTGGGTCTTCTCTTTATCGATCTTCATTAAGCCTTGTATCAAGCAATTCCTTTTTACCGTTCAACAGCACTAATCTCGGGCTGTGATAGAACGAGGTTCAAAGCATTTAGCAAATATCAGCGGCAATTGAAAAGCTTTTGAAATGTTTCCCGTTTGGCTGAGGGGTAAATATACTACAGTACAAATGAGCCAAAGAGTTGTTTAGCTTAATCATTGCATCGAAGCGCCTGCAGAAGAGGCTCACAACCCTCCACGTTTACGAGTATAAATGGCACATTGCAAAGTATTCAAAGCAATGGAGTTGATTGGATTTGGGGAGTAATTTTACTCCGCACCTCATATAGTCGAATATAGTCGCAAAGGAGTTAGTTAACTCTCAGTCTGTTGTGTTCAATTGCACTCGGTGTAATGTGGTACTTTTAACACTCTTGGTATTCTTCGTTTCCGGTATGCAAAATAGCCATCGAACGAATTTCATTTCTTCTCTTGTGCTAATCTCGGTATGGTCATTTGCTTGTAGAAATTCTTCTGCCTTTCGAGATTGCCTGACGTTTCGTCGTTTTCAGAGGCCTAAACGCAGTTTAGTCTGTAATATACAGCAGCATCCCTCGAGCAAAACAACGACTGGAACTCATCGGAGAACTGCCCACTTTATATAATACTCATCAGGCTCCACCTTTGAAGCGTAGAATCCGCTGTCGCCACAGGCCATTTTCAGTTGCAAATGAGACTTCTTGATGTCTCCCTTATACTTGTGATGAGGGAGATCACATTATGGTGCTACTGACCACGATTCATAGCTCACAGAGCGGTACGTATGGCAAAAGGTCATTGGTTATGAACGTACACTCATCGATGTTGTTCATTTCGCTGTTTCTTCGCAGAATCCAGAACACTTTCAATCCTTTCCTGCTGAAATGACCTCTTATTTGGAAAAGTATTTCGCTGCCCATTTGAAGATGTTACAACCCAAGCGTTCCTTCACTAACGTCATCATATGCATTTTGCTGAGCTCGAAGGTATAATGTTATTAGCGCGCCTATCGAGTATTTTGAATATTGTTTGTAAGGTCTGCTCGTCTCGGACGAAGCGAAACCACGTCAGGAAATCAAATTACAACACCTTCTCCGAATTGAACATGTGTAGTAGATCAAGAGAAAGCTTTGAATAGTGCAGGTGAGATAGAACCTGTTCGCGCTCACGCTACATGGTGTGTTGACGAGCTGAGCTCATGCACAAGTCGTTAAACTGCAGTCGTCAACAACATGTTGAGAATGGCAAAAGACTTTTTTACGGATCAAGTGAAACTTCACGAATCACGACGTTTAGATGCTAAATAGCTGCTGCGAAAGCCTATATGGTTGCACTGTGAAAGGCGGCGCGCTATGACGCAAGAAGCTTCGCGCATTTCGGAACAACCACTTTGTCTTTCTTTCATCTTCGATAGTCAGCACTGCAATACAGCAGAGCATCTTCAGAGCTCAGCTACAAAATGTGGTCCACTTGGTAAACATTCCTTACAACAAGATCAAGCAACAGTTAGGGTGAATGTAGTTGGGGGGATGGAGCTGTGCTCTTTTTAATCATTGAAAGCTAAACGCAGAGAAGGAGGAGTAGACGAACCTCACTTGTTCTTAGAGATGTTTTTTAGCCTAAAGGATATTGTCGTCACCTAATTTTAAGAAGGGGAGGAGTTCCAGGGTGGGTAAGGTGATTACCTCGTACAAAAAGCTTAGATGAGGTAGACTTGAACATCCATTTGGCTCACCCACCCCGGATCTCCTTCCTTTCTCAAAGCTATCTAAAAAAACCTACATTTATGACATAAAAAAGCTGCGGAAGATCCTAAGCACCATTACGGGTTCGGGTACTCTTTTTCCTCTGCGCTCTAGGCGTCAGTAATCCAAAAGGGCGCTGCCCCCCCCCCCCTCCACTATTATTTCACTACAGTTAGTTCAAAATCGGCACTACGATGAACAGTGACAAAACGATTACATCAACGATTGTATCATGTATCCCTTATGGGAAAGCAGGTGATTACGCAATTATAGGCGTGATCCACCACCTAGAATGTCGGGCATGTGGATCAACATATATCGGTGAGTCTAGACGACAACTAGCCATACGGATGAAAGGACATCTAGCCAGTGTGAGACGCGGAAACCTTTAGATAGCGCTCGGTCGACATAAAGTTGAAGACTGCAACGGTGATTATTTCAATGCAAGTGCACGATATAAGCGCAGGAGACGGAAACATTAGCAAAAAAGATTGGAGGCGTTCTGTATATTGCAAAGGAATCCCGAAATGAACAACAGCAATGAATGTCATCAATAACCCGTGACTGCTTGCCATACCTACCGCTCTGCGAGCTATGAATCGTGGTCAGTAGCACCATAATGTGATCTCCCTTATCCTACTTATATAATCCGCTAAGTCTGTGTTGGTGTGTTTGTGTGTGTATGTGTATGTCTGACCAGAAGTTCATGCTCTGTCCCACTGAACCTGGAGCATGCGAATTTGGCAGGATTACAGGCGGCAGGATGGATACTTATGATGGGTGAACGGAACGAACTTCTCCCAAAAGGGAAGGGGCTTACGCAAATAAATGTTTGAGGGATTTCATAGCTTCTGTCTCACTGGACCTAAAGCGTTCAAATTTGGTAAACGTACAGGAGAGAGGATAGGAACACCTATGTTGGGTGACAGGACCGTATGCCGCCTATAGGGAGTGGGGCTTGCGCGAAAAATAATAATTTGGGCCTAGAGCGTTCAAATTACGGAAGGAGCGCAGGAAGAAGGATGGGACCTTCATGGAAGGTGGTAGGACAAGACTTCGTCAGCGGGGCGGAGCTTGCATAAGAAGGGCGTAATTTTAGTGAATTTGTCCAATCATCTTTGCAAAAATGGGGAATGAACCAATTCCCACGAACACATGGGTTAAGAATTCGGAAGGGATGTAGGCGACTGGCCATTTTACACGGGAAGGAGGTGTCCGGCGTTAGCGGCGACCCGACTGGTAACAAGTACAAAGGAGACATCAAGAAGTTTTGTTTGCTACTGACAGTCGCGTGTGGGGATAGCGGATTCTACGCTTCAACGGTTGAGCCTGGTGAGTATTTTCTGAAGTGGGTGGTTCTCCGATGATTCCAGTCGTTATTTCGCTTGAGGGATTAGATGCTACTGGACATAACAAACCATCTAGATTTGCGTTAAGGCCTCTGAAGTCAACGATCACATCAAAACGTTGGACCCTTAACTCAATGAAGTCTTTCGCCTAAAAATGACGAACTGCAGAAGAATTTCAAAACGCAAGCATCGAACTTTTGCTTCTTGCAATCATTGAAGGGACGAGATACTTAGCATTATTCATGATGCTGTACCAGTAGGATCGCCCAGCTGAGGACGGCCCCTCATCCTTCCTTGTTAAAGTTGACTCTCACCTGCACTCTCTCAAGGATCTCTTGTTCAGAAGAAGACAGAAGCTATTGATTTCCAGCGGAGCACACGCACACACATCGACACACTTTGTGCGTTGGATCTATTCCCTCTGGTTCCAACTTGACGGCGACTTTCGAAGTGCGCTCATTCCACTCATTGTCCCCTACATCACTCCTACGCCTCCGCGGACTGCATCCAGTTAAGCTTCTTTCTACTACCTGCAATTAGTGTCTTAAACGTGCCGCCTCCACTTAATCCGAATATGAACGCCTCATGTTCAAATTAGCAATTTTCGCGTGCGTTTCGCCTCCTTTGAGCGGAGTCAATCCTGTTACTTCCTATCAGCATTAATATACTGCCGTCTGTATCTTAGCCAAGTTGAGTGCATCAGGTCCAGTTGCCAATTCTCACGCCCGCCCAGTCCGGAGCCGAGTTCTGCCACCTATCAGTATTCCCATACCGCCAGTTCTGACATCTGTAGACCTCCCGACTTGGAAGCCTCTAGGTGCTCGGGAACGGAAATTATGAATTTCATCCGGACAATCATAAATGTTCCCATCCTGTCCCAAGTATTCTTGCCAATTTTGAACACTGGTTGCTAAAAGGGTTGGGGGGGCCACGCGGCGCGGCAGGCGGCGCGGCACCCTGCCTCTCTCTAGCGGGATAGTAGTGGGCCTGAGTCTGGGAAGGAATGGTGAGGTTGTACTGATTTGTCTCGTGATTAAGAACAAACTAACTCTTGGCGCATGTTGATATGCTTGCATATTATGGATAGTCTTCTTCTGAGCCGATAAAACCTATTTTCTCCAAGAAGTGGAGAGGCTTCAGGGTGGGTGAGATGGTTATCTCGTGCAAAAAGCTGAGTTGAGATAAAAGTTGAACGTCTAGTTGGCTCACCCACCCCGAAGCCGAACCCCCTCCCCTTTCTAAAATTAGGTGAAAGTGCACAGTTATAACCTAAAAGAGCTATGAAACGCCCCTANCCCCCCCCCTTTCTAAAATTAGGTGAAAATACACAGTTATGGCATTAAAAAGCTATGAAACGTCCCTAAACACCGTTACGGGCCCGACTACTCTTCCTTCTCTATTATCTCGCTGAAGAGGGCGCAGGATACCGCGCCGCCTGCCGCGCTGCGTGGCCTCCCCAATCCACTTAGCACCGAACTTTGTAGGTTCGAGAGGACAGTAGTTATGATTTCCCGCTTGAACATTTATTCCGCGCAAATTCCGTCCCCTGTGGGCGGATACCGGACCTGGGGTCTGGCATCATCTCCCCGAACGGCGTGCCGTGCTCGCCACACGCGATCGCGCGCTATGAAGGAAAAGATTTGAATTCCCATTGGAAGGATACGAAGAGTCGCCGCGGAACACTACCATAGGCCGAGGAGAAGTTACGTTACCCACCGCGCTTGCTGCACACCAGAAATGATCCTGTCCTGCCACCCGTACTCCTACCGAGTTTGAATGCTCTAATTCAGTGGGACAGGAGTTATGAAATTCTGGTCTGGCACAGGCACACACACACAACACACACGCACACGCACAGACAGGCACACAGACACGCAGACACACTCAGCAGATTATAGAAGCATGACGTAGCGTCAAGGAAGTTTGGAATTGAGTAAAGACCATTCAATGAAGAAAGATTTCTTTTTTAGGTGAATATCTTAGGTTCTCGGTAGGGCAGAACACGTTAAGCTCGATAGTAGGAAGTTTCTGTCTCGGATGGGTTGGCATAAGGTGTTCGCTGAAATCCTATATTAGCAATATGCGAGCGGGAAATAATGAGTTCTGCAAGCCAACGTAATGACTACCTACCGACTTCCTGTTGGTGAGCTGCACATATAATGTGGTCGAGTTTGACTCCAGCATGCACCACCACCAACGAATTAGCGAATAACTGAACCTAACAATTAAAAAAATATCCAATGTTTTCTGAATGAGGGCATGAATGGGTGAACACCATTGATTTGTGCTTGTTCGAAAATTAAAGGGTAATCATACATTGGGTTGATGAATACTTATTGCGGACTTTTTCACTAAGTTTCACTCAACAAAATTGGTAGAAATATTCGACAAAGACATGTTTGCATATTTGCTCCGGAGCGTAGTTATTTCTTCAAGCACTGGTTCCCGTTTGCTAGGCAGCCGTTCGACTCCACAGGCGAAGTTCCGATTTAAGTTTGTTTACCATCCGATTTTTCAACGAAATATCAAAATGATAGCCCATAGAAACATCTGTGGTAAATATAGCAAATCTAGGAGCAGATTCCTTCCCTTACTCGCAATTCACCTAACCAAACGACGACTCATTGCGAAGCAAAACAGTGGAAGTGCGTACACGTTCTGCTTTGTTGCTTTCAGAGGGTTCTTGAAGAATTTGTCGGGGATCCATGCAGCCAATTTTTGCACCTTTATAAGTTTCTTGCGACGACCACCGTCGAGTGGTTGACATTGAAGTCATCGGCAGCATTCGCGTTGTGAGGCTTTGGTCTTTCTCTACGGCCGCTAGAAGGGCCTGGTCGTTGAAGTCCAATGGCTCCTCCTTTTTCATCTTCAAGGTTTGTGCTGCCCGTTCTGAACCAATTGAACCGTCTTTCAACTTGGCTTTGGCTGTTCCATCACCGGAAAAGTCACTGCGTTCGCGAAATGTCTCCGCCGCCTCCCAGCCTTTCTCGAAGTGGTATAGCATAATGCGAAGATAGTTTCCCAGATGCATTCTTGTTAGGGAAAGCGAGAACATTATTCCTCTGGGAATCTCAATTTCAAACTGTACTGTATCAAGAAAAGAAAGCGCAAAAAAATCTGCAATGATGCAATCACATCAACATCAACGCACATCGCATCAATGCAAGAAAACCAGCTACATACAAAATAAAGGCTTTATAAGGGCAAGTTAGGATGATTCTGCAAATATTGTTTGTAGAGTGCCTCAGGATAAGGCTTGAGTATCATATTAACTACATATTCTATTCAGAACGAACCATCTGCACTCCTGCCTATAGTAATTTGTCCTACTGAAATTGACAGTATCAACGTGACGTTGGAGAAAAACCAGCAGTGTGCGTGCAAAGTAAGTTCTGTTGTTATGAGGCTAAGAAAATGAACCCGCTTAATGTTTAAAGGGTTTCCAAAATTTATGTCACCCATCTCTACAAGAAACAAGTGTTTCGATCACCTTTTGCCCATAAAATCTGGTGTTATGAAATACACTTAATGGTAATCTGGCAAAGGATGTATAGGAACATGTGAGGGCGCATTAATTAAGGCAGTCGTTGGGTCGAATATGGCAAATTATGTAGCACCCCGTATCTCAATTGTTAAGCTTTTGTGACAGCAGTTGGCGACATGCGGTTGTTGGTTATTGAGAAGAACGTATGTCTTCTACTCACCAGGGAAAGGTTTCAACTTCAATGGAATATTGAATGGAGAACTAGGTATATCGATAGGGCTTGGAAAGCTATTAACAAACATGGAAATCAAAGCTGCGTGGAGAGATAGTGCCAGTTGATAAGCGCAGTTGCCTGCAATGGCCATAAGGGTCACCGTGACGTAGTGGAAGTGTTCTGCCTCTTCAGATGAGCGATGGGGGTTTGCTCCCCGTCGTCGTCCTCCTTTTTGCAGAACCTACTTCCATCCGAATAAAAGCTCCCAAACCGTTTTTTCTTAACAATTCAAGTTAGCGCTTTGTTTCAGCTATCATTTGCGATCACCTAACACCGCACTTATTTAAGATTGCTCCACGTCATTTTAGCTTTTATTCGGATGATAGTACGTGTTGCAAGAGCCAAAACGACAACGAGGAGCAAAGCTCCATTGCTCACCTGGACAGGGACAGCACTGCCACTACGTCACGGTGACCCTTGTGGCCACTGCGGGCAACTGCGCTTATCAACTGGCACTAACTCTCCAAGCTTTAAGCATGTAAACTTTGAACGCATACAACTTTTTTGGTAGACTCATTTAGTAATTTTAATTTCCATATTTGTTAATAGCTTTCTAAGCCCTATCGAGATATCTAGGTCTCTATGCAAGGTTCCATGGCAATTTGAAACCCTTCCCCCGGTTAGTAAAGCACCGTAGCTGATGAAAACTCTGATGCAATTGACCAATTTGTTTAACGTGTTTCTCTGCAGTAATTCTTTCACCGGATTCCAAGTAGCTGTGATAGTCAGGCCCACGTTAGATTACCATTTAGTCAGCACCACCACTTTTTGACACATCTCTGATTTGAAAATAGGTCATATTTTACCGCGTCGGTTTTTTTCGATTAATGAAAGGATACATATGCCGTCAATTGGGTTGCCTTCATAACAAAGGAGAATTGGCAACAATTGTAGCCCATTTGACATACTTATTCTTTTGCGAAACATCGAAGCAGTTGAGTTGCGCACGATCTGTTTTTCTGCCAATTTTTGCCTAGTATTTCGTGTAATCCCCTTTTCCAAGAATTTCATTGTACAGAAGTAAGCAATAAATACACCTTTGCTGAGCACTGTAGAACCCGTCTTATTTTGAATTCCGGATTAGCTAAGGCGGTGCTTTCCAGACCAGCAGTGAAATTTATTGTCAATAGCCTCGTAATCATACTCCATTGATGCTAAGACTTCTTTTGCTGCACATAGTCCGGAGTTTAACTCGCAAAAGTAAATAAGTTGGAATCACTACTTTGGTACCCGCATTTCTGAGCGTAGGATTTTGTCGGTATTTCAAACAATGCTCGAGGCATAAAATAAATAATGCTCGATACATTACATAGAAATACATTCTATAAACATATTCTTTGAGATACAGTAAACTTTCAGGACTGTGGAAAATTGTTCAATTCAGTTTGGTATTTGAAGCAACATGCAGTGAAACATTCAAATGATCGCCCGTTCAAGTGCAAATTTTGCTTCAAGGTAACGACCTTGTAAGGATGTTTTGAAAAACTTTAAATCCAAGCCTCAGACATACAAATTTCGTTCGAATCTCTATCAACACAAGTGTCCCGATCGTCAGAAGCATTCTATCAACGGAAAGTGAGTATTACATTGATCGCTGCTTGTGCTTCAATTTTTCGTAGCTGTACAGAGTATAATGTGATTTTCGTTGGCTCTGCATAGATGAACTCATAGTCAGGATATAAAGGTCTCAGTAGATCAAAGGTAACTATGGATATCAGCGTGGGAAGGACCATACAAAGTTGTAATCAATTTTTTGGATGCGTTCAGGGCCCCAACAAATTACCTAATAATACACTGCCGGAGTGTTGTCGAAACTTTGACTAATTTTAACTTTTCGTAATGTAGCTCATCTGAACCAGAATAATGTTGCCCGAAACAGTGAACATCCAAAGGCGACGAAGTTGAATTCTGTTTTATGTATTCGTAGGAAACACACACAAACATATAATACATTTGTACAGCTGCTTGCATTCATTATGAAAGAGTAAGAGAGAAGAGTACTCATACAGTTTATGCATATACTTTGGAGAATGAAGGCGAACGAGTGCGCACGAAGGAAAGTTTGATCTTGAAGCACACAATGCAGAAGGAAAACAGGAATTAGTTTTGGCATTCAACCTGAATTCTGACTTCGGATTTAATGAAAATTTTATTTTGCAAGTTAATGAAACATTCTGTAGTAGAGATGATGAGCGGGAAAAAGCTCTTGCTCAAAAATCCATTCCGCTATGGAAGATTCCCTTTCGTCATCATTGTCGTAGTCAAGATAAGGTATAATATTATGTACGATTGAGTAACCTCAATCGTACATAACGTAATCTCAGTCGTACATAAGTACAACGCCAGCAAGTCTCTTTACACCGAACGACGCATGAGGTTTTCGAATGATGCGTGAGGTTTTGAATGCGATACTGAAAAGTCCGGTTTAGATGGTATCACCTTGCTGAACTGCTCATATTGACACCCCGCCTTGTACGGATTGCTGTGTGACGTCACTGGCTCTGAATCATAAGCTCCCTCCGTTTTATATGGGAATGGACCTGATTTGGATTCTTTCAATCTTGGGACGGTCAATCCATCCAATGTGAGAGAAGCAAGGGTGAGAAAACCACTCTTACCGGCATCAGACATCATCAAACACTCTTCGGACTAACTTCCACGTAGGGCTTTCTGTGAACCCCGGCATAGTTGCTTTCTTATTGAATTGTTTTCTTTAACTCTTCACGAGGTCTTTATACATGCTTTATTAGGCTGACGTTTCGGCGGGGTCGCCTTCTTCAGAGCCTTGAAAGATCATGACAATTTGTGACTATCCGATCAAACGTCTCCACTGCCACACTGACGATCGAGACCCCCAAGGCACGCAGGTGATTACAGGAAAACCACTCACCGTAGCTTTGTGGATTTTTCGAAACCAGCAACGCTGGTAACAATGGACCAGTGTTAGCTGCAGTAGGTCTTCATTCAAAGTCCCAGCGGGAAGACCAACTTTATATAAGGTCGCAGCTCCCGCGTGATTGCGAAGCATTCTCCCCTACGATTCATTTTTGGATCGGTGACTCGTACCCAAAATGCCTCGAGGATTTTACGCGCGCATAATCGCGATTCCTGTGCCACGACCTCCACGGTGACTTCAAAAAGTCTCCGTCATGCTTTTGAATTCGGTGACTCCCTAAGGCAGTGGACTCCTTCAATCGCCTCATACCATTTATGTGCTCCTTAATCATCACGTAGAGTGGCCTTGCTGTTTCGCCAATATACTCATCACCACAATCACGGCAAGTAATCTTGTAGACCACCCCAGACGAGGTACAATCACCCTCCCTGCCAGCTGGCCAGACCACACAGTTTGAGGTTGTACATAGGCGGTCGTATAGCGTGTTCCGAACCAGGCGCGTTTTCAGATTGAAGGGTGGTACGTTTACAATGGCAACCGCATTTTCCAAGCCCGATCTCTTTTGACACTTCCTCATAGAGGCACTGACTTCATCAGAGATAAATGGTAGTACAAAGGGAATCTTTCCATCTCTCGAGGTACTACCATGTCTAAAGATCACGCCACCAGAAGAAGCCCTTCGTGTTGTCGAAAAGTTGCAGTAGCCATTCACCTGAGCAATATCGCATGCCATTTTAATCGACTCTTTTCGCTTATCCTCCCTAGTGCAAACCTTTTTAGCGGTGCGGAACATATTCCTAACAGCCGCTCGCTTCATGTAAAAAGGATGAGCTGAGTGGTAATGGACAGTGATATTTCTATTGCTGGGCTTTCTGTACCACTTCGTGGCAATCATATCGCCCTGTAACCTCACTTGAACATTTAAGAAAGGGAGCCAATTTCCGGTCGGTCTTTCCCGAGCTAATTTGAGGTGCTCTGACTGTGAGTTCAGCAGGTCAAGACACTTATCATTTTCTTCCTGTGTCGCACAAACTATGAAGTAGTCGTCTATATACCTGCAATAAAATAAAGGCAGGTATTCAAGTGCAGGCTCTTCAATCTTGGCCATAAATGGTATAGCCAAGACAGGTGCTAACCGTTGTCCCAAGCCTCTAGTCTGAGCGAAATACCTCCACGATCACTTGTAAATGTTACAACTGAGGCACTCCTTTACAAGTGTCATCAGTTGGGATAAGAGACAACCCTCGCATATTTATATCGTTCTGGTTCTAAAAAGCTCAACTATGGCTTCCATAGCGGACCCATAGTTGACATTTGTGTAGAGAGCTTCTACATCAAAGGATCCCATGACGCACGAACCTTTGAGGTGCAGTGCGCCAAGGCGATCCAGAAACATTTGGGTATTTGTGAGGCGGGGTGGTATGAACCTGAGGAGCCGCACTAAAATGGTATTAAGAAACCACGCAATTCGGTCAGTAGGCCGTGCTACTGAAAGCCACATCCGATTCAGTCTACGAAACTGCGTTTGGAATTCCTTCACAGAAGCTGGGCGGTAGAGAGAGGTGTCTCCCAGATGGTGTTCTATTGTTTCACAATCAAGTTGTCTAGAAATCACCACAAACTCTCCTCCTTTGCACTGCAGATAACCTCATGGCTCGAGACTTGACCCGGTGCAACAATGGCTCGTTGGTGGCAGAACGAAAGAGAAATGTGCTCAACATTCCCTTTCCAGCCACGTTTTTCAAACAGCAATAACCGAACATTGATTCTAACGCTAATTTCCGGATTTATGCCGACGAAAATTTTAAGGTGCTGTGTAGGTTCCAGAAACAACGCGCCACATCTAACATTTAACGAGAGCAAGCACGTGGTGTTAGAAAACTTCGAGACCTAATCAAGTCTCGAGCCATAAGGTTATCTGCAGTGGCAAAGGAGGAGAGTCGGTAGTGATTCCTAGTCTTGTGAAACAATAGAACACCATCTGGGAGACACCTCTCTCTACCGCCCAGCTTCTGTGAAGGAATTCCAAACGCAGTTTCGTAGACTGAATCGGATGTGGCTTTCAGTAGCACGGTCAGCAGGATTGAGTTCAACCTTGATAATACGCCTCAAACTTGAGTCGCCTTGTTGTCCAGTCCTGCATCTGCTTAGTTTTTGGATGCAGATGACTTAGCTTCGATGAACATAATAATCGTGAAAGTCCATCCTATCATGAGCTACCTGGGCAGTCCTACTGACCGAACTGCGTGGTTTCTTAATACCATTTTAGTGCAGCTCCTCAAGTTCATACCTCCCCAAATCACAAACACCCAAATGTTTCTGGATCGCCTTGACGCACTGCACCTCAGTGGTTCGTGCGTGGAAACATTATTGCGAATGAGCGGCCAACTACACAGTAGATTGATATAGCATATCGATGTATCGGCCAACACTCCCCAAGCGGGACACCATACGGGACAGTGTATCCTTACCACACATAAGGCTAACCGTGTGAAGGGAGCAAGTTGTGAATTATCGCCACATAATCCTAAAAGGCCTCCAAACAGGATCGTCGATTTTGGATTGCCCACTTTCCCGTCGCCCTCCCGATTTCGGTCTTGCTACCCGCCATTAGTCATCTCTTCCGCTTGCATCTCTATCAAACGTGAAAGCCTCAGGTCCCTAGGTCCATATTAACTATTTTCGCGCGAGCCCCGCCCCCAGTGAGCGGAGTATATACGTGCCACCTAACATTGGTGTACTCGAATTGCCATCTGCCTCTCTACCGAATTAGAACGCCCCAGACTCACATTAACAATTATCGCGCAAGTTCCGTCCCCAGTGGGCGGATTCTACACCTGCAACCTGCCACTAGTTTTTCAATCTTTACACCTCCACCACTATCCAATCGGAACGCTCTAGGTGTAAATAATTTTTGCGCAAGCCCCGCCCCCAGCGGGCGAAGTCCACACATTCTACCTAATAATAGTGTTCCCAAATCGCCATCTGACCCTCTACCGAATTTGAACGCTCCAGATCCAAATTTTCCAAATTACCATTTTTTGCGTAAGCTCCGCCTCCAGTGGGCGGTATCTACACCTACGGCCTGCCATTAATTTTCTTATCTTGCCGCCTCCACCTCCACCAAATTTGAACGCTCCAGGTGCAAACTGGTTCAAATTAACAATTCTCGCGCAAGCCTCGCCCCCAGTGGGCGGAGTCTACACGTCTCACTGGTGTCACCGTTTTGTCGCCTATATCCCTCCTAGGTCTGAACACTATAGCAACACTATAGCCCAGGAGAACAGGAGTTATAGATTTTCGTTGAACCACTTTTTTTGCGGACGCCCCGCCCCTAGCGGGCGGAGCTCAGCTTGGGTCACGTGCTCTCAGGTAGTTCGGCTCATTCCCCACTTGTTCAAACTTCGAAGCTCAGAAGGCGTCATAGAAAATGGCCACAAACGGACAAACAGACAAGCGTACAGACAGACCGACAAACAGATTCTGTGGTTTATATATAGTAAGTATATATACCATTTTGGGTTAGGAGTATTTGTGATTTCGGTGCCTGAATCCTGGCTTTGGAAAAAGGCAT